AACAGACTACTACTACTATATAGACGACGAACGGAACGTACGAACGTAACAACTTACTTACTTACTAACTAACTAAACCTAAACTAAACTAAAGAAAAAGTAATATATATATATATATATATATATATATATATATATATATATATATATATAACTGAACCTCTAAGCTGTACACCAGAAACTAACACAACATTGTAAATCAACTATACTTTAATGAAAAAAATAAAAAGGTCTTCCCAATCCATTTTTCCCTCTGCCTAATTTTCTGAAGGATATGACCAATCAAAATTCCCACCTGACCACACCTCTATCTCTCCACTATCCTCTCATAGAAACATGTGCCTCTCCTCCACAGCACTTACACAAGGGTAAGGAATGCATGATACGTGTAATTACGTGTTTACTGTCTCCCTCCCTCAAAAGACTGTGATGTCCACTGAGTCCTATTTAGCATCTACTCAGAATCTCACAATGTAAACGCTCAATAATTATCTGCAGAATAAGTGAATGGATGGATGGATGGATGCTCTCTTAATTAATTAATCCTAGCCCTCCCATCTGTTTCATTCCACAGTCTCATCCTGCTCTCATCTGCTATACCAAGTACCATCTGGAGCTGGCTGACTACTACTGCGCCCCGCTCCCCAACAGGCGCCGGCCCCAGCAATGATGTTTAGGAAACACACAGATTCTCCCCCTAAGACCCACTGCAGCCTGTCCATCCCCAGAGCATTAACAAACTGGAAATCATGGATGGATCACATAACCATAAGCTCTGACAGGAGGAAAACCGTCTTGTCTTTGACTCTGTGCATGTTCTGGAACATACTTCCCAATCACCGAATAGCTTCTTCCATACCACAGCAGGATCTTCAAAGCTCGTTTCTACCCCACTAATGTTTCCTGTAATCTTTACAGTTTACCAAAGGTCTAGATCTTAGAGGATGACTTTAACTCCTATCCAAAGTTCCAAGTTTATTTCTTATCCAATGTCAAACAGGAAAAACCAAAAAGGAAGTAAACAAATGGCAGCAAAGATGGAAAGAGGGAACGAATAAGAGGAAGCGCACGTCCTGTATGAGCCGCTGATGCCGCGCACTTGTTAGGCGTGGACCAGTTTGACTTGGCTCTTTCACACAGATCAACGTGAGTCACACGATCTACTGGGACCACAAGGTAAAGCAAACGAGTTGCTCAGTAACAGCACACCTATTCACTACAGGAAATCACGACAAATTTTAAAACTCACAGAACAATCCAACGGCATAACGCCAAGCCTTTGCTCAGTAAAAGTACTTCTACAGCAGAGTTCAAACAATGGATTCTAAATAGGCGCCTCTCTTCGGTTTCTGACTTTTCAGGGATAATTTGAAGTAGAGCATAGAATGAATGAACGTAACTTCTTCAGCCAATCCTCTGAATGTCATTTGACAGCATTAATTTAGTTAATATCAGAAACACATTCCTGAGACCTCTTGTATTAACACTGCATTCCTCATCATCTGTATCCAGCTTGCCGCTGGGACCAGTGAAATATGTCCTGTTAGGTGAGTGTTGCGGCCTCAGAGATCTAACTCCAACTTACCAAGCTCTCAAATGTCATATAGTCTAAGCTGATGTAATCATGTTAAGGCATGTCAGCATTAGGAGTGAAAACAGCTCGGCCAAAGCTCCATCCAGAAAAAAATATAGACTGATGCAACTGCCTCCTCACTCTCCTCCCTTCCTTTCCTCTCC